ATGCATACTTGTCTGTTAAAGGAGCTACAAATTAAACCAGGAAATTTTTCCAAGCTTACATAAATTATTCAGGATGTCATTTCCCCTAGTGGAGCCCTTGGTAGTCAGTGACTTTCTAATGATAGGCTTCTAAAATACCAATTAATTGTGCTAGATAATCCAGATAGGAAACTTTAAATTCGTAATACTTTGAGCCTGACTCCTCTAATTCTGGATCACTCTGAAAGGGCAGTGGTCCTGCAGCACAGCTCTGTAAAGGTGGTTGGACACACATACTCTGGGAGGCCTGACTTCAAAGAGCAAACTACCATTTGCCCAGAAGACACTTGATAAACTGATGGTCGTAATTGTGTTTACAATAGATCTATAGTGATAGTGAGTATGCACATAGGCAGATAAGGAGAGAATGAGGGCTCTGATCGGCAAGAAATATTCTTATTAAATACGGTCCTCTAATCCTAAGTGTACTAGTGTTGTAGGATTCCCATTCTTTCTCAGTGTTAGCCACAATTTGTTGTGACCTACACAGTCCAATGCCTTTGCACAGTCGATAAAACCGAGACATTCTTGTAGTCTGCTTTCAACCAAGAGTCATCTGAGATAAGCAGTAATATAGGGCCATGGCCTCTTCTTCTAATTTTTTCTTTCTTATAATATTCAGCAAGATTTCTTTTATATGTGATGATAGTGATCTTGTTTGATAAGTTCCACATTCTTTTTGGATCACCTTTTATGAGAATGAATATGGATCTCGTCCAGTCATTTGGCCAAGTACCTGTATTCCAGATTTCGTGGCACAAGCCGATGAGCACATCTAGGGGTACATCTGTTTGTTTAAATAAGTCTGTGGGTAAGGCCCCATCAATTCCTGAGGCCTTAACCTTTTTTTGTCAGTTCCTTCAAGCAACTTGAACTTCCTCCTCCTTTATTATCATTAGTTCTTGACCCCATTCTACTTCCAGAAATGGTTCTGCATCAGCCACTTGTTTTTGGTACAGTGACCCAATGTATTTCTTCCATCTTGTTTTGATGCTTCCTGGATCATTCAATATTTTTCCTGTAGCATCCTTAAGTATTACTACTCAAAGTGTGAATTCATTCCTCAGTTCCTTCATCTTGAGAAATGCATACTGTTGCATTAATGCCTCTCCTCCCCACACCCCCAAAACCAGAGGATCTGAATTTGAGTGACTGGCTTCTTTATTTCCCTCAGAAAACAGAATGGATCTAGGAATAGAACTTTAGTTATGAAGAAGTAACCAGCTGGTGAGCTAATGAATAATGCATGTTTATAATCCAGTCATTAGCCCATAAATTGGTTTCCAGTTACCATCAAGCCTTTCACATGAGCAGCAAAATCTTAAACCTCCCTTTACAGAAATTACAGTCATCAGACGATTAAAAGATACTTAAAGCAAAGAACAAGTGCTTGTGCCCTCTGCCAGCAAAATAACTCACAATGCCCTGTCCACCCAATTGCATTGCTAAAACCTTCCCAATCAAGAAGACAGTATCTGGGAGAAGACTGGCAAATTGATTTTGCAAATAAGCTTGTTACAAACAACACAGCAAAACCTAGGTACCTACTAATTGTAGTAGATACCTTCTCAACCTAGGATGAAGCCTCCCCCACCACAACAGTAACTCATAGCTCTTAGCAGCAAAACCACAGTTGAGCCCCTGAAATATCAAGTGTTATGTGTCCCTCCTGGGTGTATGTGGATATGTTGAAGGACCTTCCTACCTGGCCATAACAAACCACAGGCAAGAACAGTCCAGATCGGTTGGAGATCTTACTGCCTAGCAGTATGGCTGTATAGACAGGAGTGCAATTTAAACCCTAGGACATTAAGCCTCACAAAGTATGGTAAGCCTCACTTACTTTGAACATGTTATCAAAGGGGCAATCCTTGAAAAAAGACCTCATGCTGGAAAAAAGTGGAGGGTCAGAAAAAGAGAGGAAGGCACTAAGCAAGGTAGATTGACACTGCGACTGTCACAACGGCCCTGAGTATGAGAGAAATTATGTCAGTGCACAGGACAGGGCAAAATTCTGATTTGGTCCAATAATAAAAATAATACAAAAATGTAATTCTATGATTGAAAATTTTAAGGCCACACAAAAATAGTACATCCAGAGACTATACTGTAATTTATAGCTGTTTTGGTTACTCTCGACATTTCATTATTTTATATAATACAATCATGCTGAACAACCTTGAGAACCTGCCATTCTGCAAGTATCTTTTTCTCAGATTTTTAATTTTGTTTTTAAGAGATATTCCAAAACCAGAATTATTTAGTAATAGAATATTTAAAGATTTGATGTACACCATTAGTTCTTCTTTTGCTGTTATCCTTAAAAAAATGTGCACCCATTTATAAATAAACCAACATTAAACAAAGGTTATTGCAAGTCAGAGTTGCTTCCTGTCTAAATAAAGTACTTCTTTCACATTGTTTTCCATTAATGCAAAGATCTTGAAGCTGTAGAATTTTACATAACCAATGACATTCATTGGAACAAAAAGCTTAAAAGTGGCAATTCAGTCACCCTAAAATATATGTAAGTTACCTTCATTGTACTACACATTGTAATTGCAAGGCACTTCACTTAGGAATTAGCTGCAAGGCTTGAACTGCTTAATTAGTATCTTACCTGACACTATACACATTCAGTGCGCTAAGACAGCTGCTGTGCCCTGACTCGGTGTGCAGTGAATTTGTATGCATGCCTATGTCTTTAAAAGCCCCAATAAACAACCCTGGGTAGGGGAGAGCATGAAAAGATTCCTCTTTTTTCCAAGTGATTTTGAAGTCTTCTTGCTTTATCCTACAATTCAGTATTTCTACTTAACTAACCTTCAAAGTGCCTGAAATGGATTTCCCAGGAAAATTTGGACTTTCAGAATATCCTGCTTCAACGGTGTCAACAATGACATTGCTATTGTTTTCTTTTTTCTTCTAATTTGGGTAAAAATTTACAAAGCATATTGTTTTTCAAATAAATCATTTGTGCATATGTTGTCCCCTAACATTAATTGCAATGCACACGAGCTGATATCCTTTCATTCCAGGCGGCCTCTCCCTCCACCCATCTTAGTTAAGTTTGTGGTTGCTGTTGCTTTGTTTTGCCTACAACATGCATGACCATTCTGTTTTGCCTCACACGAATGGAAAGATCATGTACACACACACATACTTAGAGTGACTGTAGCCTGGCATTGTTCTCAGAGTGCTCGCTGCTTTACAGCAAACAACAACTGAGATTGTCATAAATGTTTTGCATCCAGACCTGGCGGTACCCACGAATTCTAGTGTCAGAATGATGACGTCCTGCCAGTTGTTGCAGCTTAGAAGCTTGGAAGCCAGAAGTTTTTAAAGATGAGCACCCTCTGATCAACCTAATCATCAACATTCAAAATGTTTATTATTAAGAAAGGCCAGTTTCCAGAGCTTTCTAGAAGCTTCTACATATGTCAGTTTTGCTAATCCATGGAATAAAGAACATGACAAATACAGAAGTCACTTTAAAGCCTATTTTTCTGTGAACTGTGTAAATTATTTGCACTCACCTTCTCGCAGGACTAGGACAGTAATTCCTGGCTAATAATTGCTCCACTTGTGCCTTTAGCTTGGCAGCAATTTGTCGACCACGATGACACCAGCCTAATTCAGGCCACGGTCTTCACAGTTACCTGCAATGCGTCAGAAAGCTGGACTATGACCAAAGAGGATAGAAGGAAAATTGATGCTTTTGAGTAGTGGTGCTGGAGAAGAGTGTTGAATATACTATGGACTGCCAAGAGAACTAACAGTTCTGTCCTGGAGAGAGTGCATCAAAGTTGTTCCTTGGAGGCAAGGATTTTGAGGCCCCTTCTCTCATACTTTGGGCATGCTACCAGGAGGGACCAGTCCTTGGAGAAGGACATCATGCTTAGAAGGGTGGAGGGACAGACAGTACAAGAGAGGAAACCCCTGATGAGACTGATTGGCACAGGAACTGGGCTAATGAGAATAGGAGTGTCAGAGATGGTGAAATTAGCCCTGAACAGAGCAAGGTTCAGAGCTATTGTGCATAGGGTTGCTATGAGTCATAGGCTACATGACAGCACATAGCAACAACAATTCTAATTCAAATCCAACTAAACTCAGAATGCTTCACAACCAAGCAAACCAGTTTTACAACTCAGAGGAATTTAATCTGGTGTCATCAGGAATGGGATACAAAGGAAGGAGAAATCTGGAAGCCCAGCTAACAAATAGCTGAATTCTCTAAGAACTGTCTACTTGATTCAGTTAAACAACATTAAAAGTCTGGTGATGGTGCTGAAGAGAAAGAGCTAGAGTCAGAGGCTCTCACAGCAGACCGAGGAGTCCCAGCCACATAGAACCATCCCAAGGTACAGGGGCAACCAGGCTTTGTACACCACCCTCCCTTGCACATCCTGGCCTCAAATTGATCCCCCAACCAAATGCTGCTTACACCCTAAGAAAACTCCAGGAAACCTCCAGGGATTTTCTGGGTTCCATGGAGCATACAGAATATTGTAGCTTTACTCATCCATATTTAGGGAAATTTCACCACACCCACCCCTCCTGCCACCTTCCTACAAACTTCCAGGGGGAAATGAACCAAAGCAAGATCAGGAAAATCACTTGAACACGTGCCTTTGTGACTTCTTACCCAGCATTCCAATTTCTACGTCCCATTTGACCAAATCCTACAAAGGCAAACACTGATGCCAAGTCCTGTGCCCATTAAGAATAGCAGCCCATATTATAGAATGAGTATGAGGATCCAAGGCAGGGGGCGGGGGGAGAGTGGAAATCGAGGGGTGAGGAAGGCGGGGAGGGTGTTAATCATAGGGTTGCACAACTTGAGGAGTGGATGGGGTGAAGGTAATGGGAAGGATCTTTTGTGAAAAATAATGTATTCAAACTTTGTAAATAAATCCAAATTAAAAAAAAAAAAAAGAACTAGCAGCCTGTCCACTCACCTGTGATGAGGATGGCCTTCTGATGCACAGGTAACATCTGTTGACCAGAGAGGTGCTTATAGAAGAGGAGACAAGACACATAGACGAGAACCAGGCCCCAGCAAAGGGAAAAGCCAAGCAGGCAAGTGATTCCCCAGAGGCCCGCCAAGCACATGGTGCGGTTCCACATCTGCCCTGGGCTCTTCCTGAATTTTCCAAAAGCCATTCCTCCCAGCACAGCGGTGACAGCCAGGCAGAGCCCCGCTGCAGGGTCAGAGCAGATGGATCCCATTCTCAGCTCCAGGAACCCCAGTGGGCAAAGGCTGACAGGAGGGGATCTGGGCTGTGTGAGCAGAGAATCAGGGAGGGAGGCAGAGAGAGGACCCTGGCTTCATTTGGATGAGCAGGAATTTAGCATACTCCAGCACACATCACCCCAGTGGGTAAATGGGTATGCAGTTGGTTATAAATACTAGGAGGCTTCCTCCACTGCCTGCACATGCTCAGCCAGGCACATGCTCACATATGCACACAGATAATTCACTAAAGGATAGCCCCACCTTTATACATATAACATGGCTGGATAATGATTGACAGAACTTGAAGTGATAGATAAACTGCATAATGCTGAGCTAGAAGTATAGTACTTCTCTTCAGCTTGAGGATCCTGTGGAGTGTCTACTTGGATTTTGTGACTCAGGCAGAGGGGGGTGTGTGTGAAGCCAGGTGACCCCTGAGGTTTAGAAGATGTATGTTAGAAGTCAGAGGCATCACTTACCACAGTTGTGTCTCCATCTGAGTCTGTCCAAAGGGTTGGTGAATTTCATGGATTGAATGATGTCCCCACTCAAATACATTTCACCAGGGAGCTCTGGTGGCCTAGTGACAAGAAGCTATGCTGTAATCCTGAAGGCACACAGTTTGAATCCACCAGATGCTCTGCTGGAGAAGGAGGGGCAATCTCCTTCTGTGCCAGTCGGATCTGACTCGACCGTACACACACAGCCCCACACACACCCCCACACCCAAAACAAAACCCAAACCCACCACCATAACGAAACCAAATACATTTCACCATGGCTGGGCTATAGTTCTTGGCTGGCAGTTGTGTGGTACAGAAAGAATTGTGGCAGTTATAGGATGATGCCAGTATCCCCATGATGTGATTAGATGTTACCAGCCGTGATCTGATGTAAGGGGACTAGGGCAGAATGTAACTTTCTCACTCAGGTCACAGACCTTATCCAACCTAAAGCAAGTTTCCTTGTAATGTCATACTGATGGAAAAAAACCCAAACAACCCTGACCTTGTATAAAAGGCTGAAAAAAGCTTCCTCCCTGATACTACGGATATGGTTATAGGAGAGGCCGTTTTTTTAGAGAGAGACATCATGCTTGGAAAAGTGGAAAGTCAGCGGAAGAGGAAATTCCTTAAAAAGGGGGTTGACACAGTGACTGCAGAAATGGGCCTGAGTGTGTCAGAGAGGATGAGGATGGCACAGGATAGGACAGGGTTCATGTCTCTTGTTCATGGGGTCACCATGAACTCAACTCAGTGGCACCTGACAGCAACATAACATGAAGCAACATTTGTATAATGTCCTTGTTAGGCGTCATCGAGTCGACCACAGCATATGAGAACTGTGCCTGGGCAGTGCTCAAGCCCGTAACTGCACTTCCTCCAGGACAAGATCTGTTTGTTCTTTTGTCAGCTCTTATTCATTGCTCAACTTTCAGGTGCAAATGAAAAAATGGGGGTGAGGGACCCAAAACAACCCAGTATGGCTTGGATCAGACTCCTCTTAGTTTTTCAACTGACGTCCTTTTTTTAGCACTTTAAAGAGATCTTTGACAGCAGATTTTCCCAAAGCAACATATATTTTATTTATTTTATCATATATTATTTAATAACTTGGGCAAAACACCAGTGTTAGCTCTCTAATAAACTAAAATTCCTACTGGTACCTCTTTTTAAAATTCATGTACGTTGTGTTTTCTACATTCCTTCATATATATTGTGTTTTCTCTAATTAATTACTATTGATCTATGTCGTTTATCACCCTGCCTCTTCAAGTTCCCATTATGTCTTTACTATTCCTTCATCTCCATCCACCCACTAACCTCTGCTATCCTAGTAAATTAATTACCCCTGCCCTGTTTCTGAACCCCCTTTCTACCCTTCCTTTTTGAACATTTATATGTCGATTTTGTTCAGTTGCCCTCTAATTTGCATGTAATGGTCCTACGCAGTTTGTCCTTTCTTACTTTCTCATGGTAATATATGGCTCTCTAGATTTTCCCTTGTTGTATCCTATTTTACAGATACTTTGTTGTTCTTTAGTGCTGCATGGTAGTAATGTGTTAAAGTGCAAGATGAATGAATGGAAAGCCAAAGCCTCTAAATTTTCATTAAAATTAATAATAAGAAATTTTTAAAAATAAATGTTTTTTTTTTAAAAATACCACATTCTTGCTATTGTGAATAAACATAGGCATATGATAAATATTGGCTGCAATAAACATAGGTGTAGTATCTCTGTCTCACCTGTGATTTCCCTCAATAACATTCCTAGCAGAGGAACAGCTGTGTCATTTGAGATTTTTATCTTCACCTTTTTGAGGAAATGTCAAACCATAGTGGTAATAATGTTTTACAGTCTCACCAGTAGTGCATTCTGATCTCTCCACGAACTCTCCACATGTATTGTTTGCGGTCCTATTTAATTTTACTACTGCTGCTGAGGTGAGACAGTGTCTCGTTGTTGTTTTGATTTGAATCTCTCTGATTGTGATTCTGAACATTTTCTCATATGTTTGTTGACCATTTGAATTTCCTCCTTCATGAAGAATCTTGTCATGTCTTTTGCCCATTTTGTAACTGAGTTGTCTTTTTCTTTTGGAAGCCCTGTAGTATTCTGTAAACTTTCATTATGAGACTCTATTCTGAATATCATTGTCTTTTTTTTTTTTTTTTTTTTGCATTCATTCGGCTTCTTTTTTTCACCGTACTGGAAAAAGGTTTTAAGCATATATGTGCATATAATGTTCAGAGGGTCCCATTTCTTAGGGTTCCTGATTTTATCCTACACTTCTTATGCATTGTTGCTGTGTTTTCAAACCTATATTGTGGTGCTGGAGAAGAGTACTGAATATCCCACGGACTGTCAAAAAACGAACAGATTTGTCTTGGGGAAAGTGTGACCAAAGTGTTCCTCGGAGGCAAAGATGGTGAAGCTTTTGGACACGTAGCTCCATGAGGCTGTTCCTTGGAAAAGGACATCATGCTTGGAAAGATGGAGAGTCAGCAAAGGAGAGGAAAACCCCGACAAGGTGGACTGAAACGGTGACTTTAGGAATGGGCTTGAGTGTGTCAGATGATGAGGATGGCACAGGATCAGGCAGGTGGGCTGTTCATACAGGGTCGATTTGAGTCTGATTCACAAGGTCCAGTGCCAATCCATCTCATTTTGCCAATGCCTGTTTTTGTGTTGTAGACCACTGAGTCAGAACCAACCCATAGCTGACCCTCTCGCGGGTTTTCAGAGGCTGTTGGTCACACAGGATGAGAATCCCCTCCAATGCCTTCTTGTTGTTGTTGTTTGGTGCCGTCGAGTCGTAGACGACTCATAGTGACCCTAGGAATGAACAGCCTGAGCACTGTTTGTACATAGAGTTTCCAGAGGCAAACCATTTTGGAAGTGGATGCCGCTCCTGCTTCCAGGCTTGATTTAGTCGGGAAGCTCCAGCCAACACTGTCCACCATGGGTGCCCATTACCACGATTGGCACATCACTGTCACAGGCTTCAGCATCACAGCAGCCACGAGTTACCTCTCTACAGCAACGCACAGACCAGAGTAACTCGTGGTTGCTGTGATGCTGAAGACTGTGAACTCCAGTGCCTAGAATGTCAATATTTATGCGTTCTGTTTCTTCCTAAAGGATGTCTAGTTTTCCTACTTCCCACACTAAGCATTCCAATCACTAGTGTCTGTTTGCAACTGTTCTCTCCCTTTGTATTTCTCAAGATGCGGGCTCAGCCTCCAGGGCCATATCTGCTAGTGTAATCTAAGTGTGCTCTCTTGTACACAGGTTTTTTGAAGGCCTCTTATTTCAGAGGTGGATGCCCAATCCTTCTTCCTAGTCTGTCTTATTTGAATGTTCAGCTATATAACCAGATCTGACAGAGAAGCATTTCCCCAAAAAGAACAGATGAAAGACCTTCCTGATTGTACAACTAACAGATTCCATGTTGGTCCCGTCTCTCCCTTCTGCATATGCTTTGTGTTTCCATCCCCCCTCCCTGACCTGCCAGCATACCCTTCTACTCCCTCACCTCAGCCTGCCCCACCAGCACCTCTCATGCCCTGTCCTCCAGCTAACCCCAAGATGATAGCTCAGGTCTCTGGCCACTTCAGTCTGCTGCCAGTCTACTCCTCCATGATGCTGGCATGCTTAATAAATACTTGCTGCATGAGTACACTGGCTTTGTGGAGTGTGACAAACTGACAGATGGGAGTGAAGACAAGGTACCTTATCCAAAAGTTTGGTTTCTCAACATGGGAAAGGAAAATTTTTGAGAATCCTAGAATGTTCACTTCCTTAGAATCAGTGACTCTTGATGTTAAAAAGTGATATGAAGTAGTCAAAGTCCATTTAAAAGGGATATTCTCTCTGTAACAACTCCACCAAGTGGCCATCTTGCCTGCTGCCTTAATGATTCACTGGCTCTAGAAGTAGACGTTCCAGATCAGAATATCTGGGTATTAAAAGTTCCTGTCAAGGCTGAGGGGAGATCTTAGTGCTCATCCTTTCCCATTTGTAGTCCCACAGAACACATCTGTTCCATCTTTCCTAAAGATGCTTAAACCCGATCATATATCTTACTTTACCTAGGTTGATGAACACCATTCTTTCAATTTATCTTGATACGGACTATGACTTGCTAGGAGCAATCAAGCTGGTTACATCTCCTAGTGACCCACTGCATCAGAATGAAACACTGTGTGCCACTGTCACAACTGGAGTGATGCTTAAGTTCATAGTTGCAGCCACGGTGTCAGTCCGTCTTCTTGAAGAGCTTCCTCTCTCCCATGGATCCTTCACTTGATCAAGTGTGCTGTCCTTCTCCAGACACTGGTCCCTCCTAGTAGCATATTCAAAGGATATGAGATGGCGTCTCATCAGTCCTCACTCCCAAGGAGCATTCTGGCTATACTTCTTTCAAACAAATTCGCTCATTCTTTTGGAATATATCCGTGGTGTATATGATTCATAAGACACAGTTGACTG